GGGAGCAAGATCTCAAATGTTCTGGAGAAAAACAGTTCTGAAGTTTCTTTTATGTACTTGAAATTAAGGGGGGACATAAATCAGCCTGCATAAAGATGGGAGAAGCAGGGTGGGGATTAGATTGCAGGATAGTAAAGATTATTTTCTCTCTCGAGTGTGGTTAAAAGAAGGTGTCTGAAAGAGTGGTTCACACATTAGAAAGGGGGTTTGAAAGAGGCATTTCAAAGATAGTTAACCTAGTGTTAGAAAACACACACACACAGGGTCAACGGGGGGGTGGGGGGTGGGGGTGCAATACACTATTATTCAAAGGGCCCCCCACTAGGTTTGATTGTCCATTTCCATAGGAAAGATGTCTCTCAATGCCAGAGATTTGTGAAAAGAAAAGGAAAGGTTTACTTAATGCTGTCCAGGCCTAAAGTAGTGACCTAATGTCTTCATTAAAATATCAAAGTCCTTTTGGATACCCACAGATGCCCACAGTGCTTCCTTCTCCCCCTGCCCTAATTTGGCATACCATGACTCAGGAAAAAAAGTAGGCATCCGTAATTCAGTTTCCTGACACTGTCAACTATGTTGCCATCCAGGCAGGATCTCTAAATAATCCAAAGCCATGTGGCACCTTCACATGGCCTACTGGCAAGAGTTCTTTCACCCTCCTTCCAGGCAAAGTCTCTCCTGCTTCCCAGGCCACCTGGCCAAAGGGAACACCCCAAAGCTGCAGGGGTCCCCACTCTGGCCAAAACCTCATGGTTCTTCTTGGCAAAGCTGTGGGAAGGGGCAGGTCACCACTCTGCCAAAGCTGAGTGGTGTTCTCTGCTAAAGCCACATGGTGATTCTACTCAAGCTGCGGGGTTCCCCACTCTGGCAAAGCCACGTGGTTCCCTCTCCCATGGCTACTGAGTCTGGGTTTAAATCCCCGCACCAACCTTTCTCTGCAGCCCCATTTCCAACTCCTCCTACAATCAGTTACACCTGCCAGCATTCCTGTATTATTCCAAGTTTACTGGGCTGCCATGGTGAGTCTGGGCAGGTATGGCCCCATGTCATGAAGCCCATTTTGTCCAAGCTGTCATGCAGGTGCCATAACCTAGGGGACCTGCCCCCCAGTTACATCTTGGGTGGAAGTCCTTTCCATCCCTCTAGCTCAGAGCATGACCACAGCTATTTAACATATCTATGCAACCAGTTAAAGGTTATAGATATGTTAAATGACCATTCCCTGGATTAGCTGCAAAGCTGTGGCTGTACAAAACAGCCCTGCATGTTTCTGCTCCATGTGTCCCTTCCCCCAACTCACACCTGAGGGGGAAGGGGTGTGGACATCTTATATGTCTTTCTAATATCTCCTAGACACCTTGAGTTCTGGACCGCATTCCAAATCTTTTTTGGGGTCCCCCCTTGTCTGCACCCTGTATCACTAGGTGCCCAGAAACAGTGGACAGGACTTGCTTAAGGCAAATATAAATCTCTCCCTAAAAAGTTAAAATGACTACCTGCTGTGGCCTGCCCAGTTAGGAATTTATGATTTATTCCAGTACCCAGTTATTCAATCAAACCTTAATCTAGATATTACTATGAGGGTATTTTGTAGATGTGGTTAACATTTATAGTCAGCTGACCTTAAGTAAAGATCATTCTCCACAAAATGGGTGAGCCTGTCTCATTAGTTGAAATGCCTCAAAAAGCAAACACTGAAGTTTTTGTGAGGGGGACAGAATTCTACCTATGATTCCTAAAGACTATTGAAGTAGGAATATGAAACCATCACCACAAACATTTTAATGTTTATTTAAAATAGATGTTTTCTTTACATAGACATAAAAAATCAAAGTCATTGTAATGATACCAAATTTAAGAAAAGGAGCTTAGTTAAATCCACAGTCATTTTCCTTTTGTAGATATAAAAACATATGTTAATTATTAATGTCACACAAACACAAAATATATTTTTAAAAGTTTTTCTGCACCATAGATTTTTATTATGTCAGGTAAATTAAAATCTCTTAATAAGCTTGAGTTAAAAATCAGGTTATCAGGAGGCTGCTGATAACAATGATAACAATTTAAGTTGTCTAATTTGCCTGATCTGATTAAATCAATGGGAGCAGCCTTGTGCCTTTTCCATTTGCTGCTGTGTGAACACATATTCTGTATTGGCTTTATAGTTTTAGTTTTTGTTAAAAGTTAGATGCAACAAGTTTTGTTACAAGTTAGGTGGACTTTTTATATAAATCGGTTTCTAGTAAGTTTATTGTGTCTCAGTTCATCATCTCAAAGTATACTGACATTAGTTCCTAAGGATTTACAGGGCTGGAAAACCAGTCTCTGAATCACAATGCCTCTTTTAAGTCTCTTCCTTTGCCAAAGTTCTGTCTGAGTAACCAACCACTTGGCCTTTCAAGACAAATCAGTAGCATGACTCCCTTCCAATTACTTTTCCCACTCTACTTTGAAGAAATCAAAAGTGTATCTAATTTATATTAAAATTTCAAAAAGAAGAAGACAGAAACTTCTATTAGAGAGGTGAGAAAATAAGAAAGTTATTACTCTTCCACTGAAAAAGACTCGATATTTTACTTTTTAGAAAGTTCATTAATATACCTTAATTTCTATATTTAGCATGGCATATCAAAAAGAATAATATGAAGACTTATCAAACATAGATATATGTCATTACTTTGACACTGTTTATCATGTGTCATTAAAACATCACCTCAATTTTTTTAAATAATTCAGTTTTTTTTTAGAATTGGTGTCTTGATTAAACTATACATGAAATTCCTTTTGGTGAGAATCTCCTTTTTCTACAAACTATGACCTAAAAATCCTTTGCAAAAATAGAATAGCATAAATAAATCTGGTAGCAGAAAAAGAGTCAAACAGCAAAAATAAAATATTATTTCCAAAAGAAAAATTCACAACCCCAGCTACTATTGAAAATTTAACTAGTGTGCTTTAAAGCATTCCATAATTGTTATTCGCCCTCCTAGCTCATTTTATTCACACGGGGATTGTGGAACAAAATTGAGGCCCAGATTCCAGATCATGTTTATATGCCAAGTGTCTAATATGTTGCTAGAGCGTGAGAGCATACCTGCAGAGAAATCGGCTGGTTAGTCATTGAAGTACACCTTGCCCATTTCTGTGAACAGATTCAAAACCCCAAAATGGGTACCAGACTTCTGTACAGAAACAAAAATATTTTGTGAAATCAGGGTCACCCTAACCCTTTTAACAAGGGTTTCTTCCTTATCTGAAAAATCTTAGCTATGCTTTCAAGATCACTTTCTGGTAGGTTTCATAAGACAGCACCTCCATTCATCTCCCTGCTTACTGCAGGAGCCTATGTGTGTGATAAGCATCAAGCATTTTGAAATTCTCTTAAATCTTTATAAATAAACTTGTCTATCCTCAGACTCAGATCACAGCGTGTGGGTTTCATTTGTGAACGATCACTAAATGACTTTAAGAAATTGGGATATTTCCGGAGAAATTTGTAGAAAAAAACTGTCTTAGTTTTCAAATGTTCTTATTTTAGAAAAAAAATCTTTCTGCTGTGTAATTCCTTTAATTTTAGTAATTAAATTACATTTTTTCACAAATATTTCTATCATCTTGGAATAGAGTTTAAATTGCTGCATTTTATGGAAAACACATGATTCCTGATTTTCCCTTGCATCAGAAGTATTTCCCAAGTTATCGCAAATATATTTTATTTCCTTAAAAGGCAATTTGGAGGACAGATGGGAAGAACAAAGCTCTTTGTAATCATTAAAGTCTAACTGCCTAGACAAATATTTCTTGTCACGTTCCTTTAGCATTTCTTTCAAAGGATTGAGCTTCAAGGCCTTTTCTTTTTATTGTTTTCATGAAGATTTTTTTCAAATTTATGTTTTTCATAGATTGGTAACAAATATGTATGATAATATATAGAGTAAATATCAAAATAAGAGATTTTCTACTAAAGTTAATATAATGACATAATGCAAACTTACTATTTCAATGGCAGCTAATAAAAGAAACAGTAAAAATGATCCTGTAAATTCTAGATGAAAGAACATCGAGTTCAGGTTTGGACTCCCAGGTTTCTCTGCTGGCTCACCTCAGAAAGATCTTTCTTTTCTCGGCTATAAAATGAACAAATGAAATCAAATTTCCCTTGAGGCTTAAAAAGGGAAGACTACATTTTTCATTCATCGTGAATATTATCCACTGAATTGTGTCTGCCTCAAATATATATGTTAAAGTTCTAACCCTCAGACTCTCAGCACATGACTATATTTGGAGAAAGGGCCTTTAAAGAAGTAATTGAGTTAAAATAATGCCACAAGGAAGAACCTGAATCCAATATAACTGGTACTTTATAAGAAAAGAAAATTTGAACACACAGAGAGTAACCAGGGATGCGTGCACACAGAGGAAACACCATGTGCGGACACAGCGAGAAGGCTGCCACCTCAAGTCAGGGAGGCAGGCCTGAGGAAAACCAAGCCATTTCACACTTTGATCTTAGATTTCCAGCCTCCAGAACTGTGAGACAATACATCTCTGCTGTTTTAATCACTCAGTCTGTGGTATTTTGTGTGTTTTTCTTTAAATTACATTTTTTGCTTATGCTATTACAGTTGTCCCAAATTTTCCCCCTTTTTCCCCTCCACCCAGCATCCCCTGCTCCATCAGACAATCCCCACACCATTGTTCATGTCCACGAATCCTACATATACAGTAATTAGCCATGTATAATGCTCACCCATGTTTTTGATTCAAACTGTCAGAAAAAATATCTTTCATTTTTTTAATTCAATATTTTATTTATTTATATTTAGAAACAAAACTGATTATCATATTCCAAGGCACTATTTTTCATATGTATACCATTATTGCTTTCTAGAGTTATATTTTTAATGTGTGAGAATAAATAAAAGGATTAAAAACATTAATATAGATATGGGATTCATATTACCTGTGTATGATGTGCATCCCTATTTTTCCCTCAGAAATTTGGGCAAGAAAGATGCACATTGAACACAGCAAAATATGGTAAGTTCTTTGGCTACTCCATTTCCTATACTGTAGTTTATATTCCCATGGTTATTCTGTAACTACCTATTTGTACTTCTTAATCCCCTCACCTGTTCACTTCTTCCCCTAACATCCAACCATGAAAATGCTCTCCATAGCCATGATTCTGTCTCTGTTCTTATTTGTTTTGTTGGGTTTTTTTAGATTCAGTTGTTGCTAGATATGTATTTATTGTCGATTTATTGTTCATAGATTAATCTTATTTTTTCTTAAACCCCTTTAAGATTTCATATAATAATGGTTTGGTGATGATGATCTCTTTGAGTTTTTTCTTGTTTGGGAAGCTTTGTATCTGCCCTTAGATCCTAAATGATAGCTTTACTAGGTAGAGCAATCTTAGCTATATGTCCCTGCTTTTCATGATTTTGAATATGTCTTGACAATTCTTTCTAGCCTGCAAAATTTCTTTTGAGAAATCAGCTGACAGTCTTATGAGAACTCCCCTGTAGGTAAGTAACTGCTTTTCTCTTGCTGCCTTTAAGGTTCTCTCTTTATCTTTAAGCTTTAGTATTTTAATTATGATGTGTCTTGGATGAGTTTCTTTACATCCATATTGTTTGGGACTCTCTGTGCTTCCTGGACTTGCACATCTATTTCCTTCAACAAATTAGGGATGTTTTCTTTCATTATTTTTTCAAATAAATTTTGAATTTCTTGCCCTTTCTGTTCTCCTTCTGGTACCCTTATGAGATCAATGTTGGACCTTTTAAAGTTGTGTCAGAGGTTGTGTACAGTGTCCTCATTTGTTTGGATTCTATTTTTCTTCTTGTTCTGATTGGTAATTTTTTCCTTCTTTATGTTTTAAATCATTTATTTGATTCTCAGCTTCATCCACTCTACTATTGTTTCCCTATAAATTCTTCTTTATTTCAATTAGTGTATCTTTGTTTCTAACTGGATTTTTTTCATGCTTCTGAGGTCCTCACTTAGTCTCTTGAGAATCCTTATAACCAGTGTTTTGAACTCCACATCTGATTGATTGCTTATTTCCATTTTGTTTAGTTTTTTCTGGAGTTTTGATATGTTCTTTTATTTGGGCCATGTCTCTTTGTCTTCTCATGTTGGCAGCCACCCTGTGTTTGTTTCTATGTATTAGTTAGAGCTGCTTTGATTCCGTGTCTTAGTAGTGTAGCCTAATACAGTAGGTGTCCTGTAGGGTCCAGTGGCAGTTTCCTCCATCACCCAAGCTGGGCACTCAAGGTGCAACCGTCATGTGGGCTGAATATACCCTCCTCTTGTTGCTGAGCCTTGGTTGCTACTGGCAAATAAATGGGGGGAATTTACCCAGGCCAGTGTCCTTCATGGATATGCTGAGACCGCTGACCACCAACCTCTGCCTTTCACAGGGGATCAGCTGTACAAAGACTGGACAGTGGTACTCTGACGTGTTTGGTAGCTCTCCACTAGGTGTGCAGGCTCTGGGGTTTCCTGGGTGGTACAGGCCAATGTCAGCCCCGACCTGTGTTTTGCCTGGGACCACTCTGCCTGAGCTATTAAGCCATCTGAGATAGCAACTACTTGTGCTGGGCTTGGAGATTCCCAGGTGAAGCCAAACTCTGAATCTAGGCTGGTTCTGCTACTGCTGGGTCTGGGGCCACTTAGCGAGGTAGCTGGGTGCTCACTGAGGCTGGCTACTGCTTGTTTCAGAAGATGTAGGAAATTGTAAAACATGATCAAAACCAGCCATTCATATGGATAAGCCACTGTTAACAACTTGGGTGGGCCTGCATGTTGGGTGGGATGTAGTCTCAGGGGATCTCCAGGGCAGGGAAAATGGTGTTGAAGGAGTCTTATATGGCGCCCATCTGTCGGCATCATGGCTCTATGAGAGGAGGGTTCAAAAAAGGGACAATGGCCTCTGCCCACCTTTCTGTCTGAGGAAAAGCTATCCAGCAGCTCTTGCCTTGATTCCAGACACTTCAGTTCCTCCCTGTATGTCACTGGTGCCTTTCAAGTTGCTACCCTGGTACTGAAGCTCAGAGGGAATGATTCTGAGTAAATCTATGTGTGGGTTCTTTCAGAAGAACTGCTTTGGACTTTAGAAATTTGTTCTATTGACTCAATACCCACTGGTGTTTTGTAGCCAGAAGTTATGGGGACTTATCTTCCTGACACTGGAACACTGGTATGAGGTTGGGACTCCTTGCTCCCAAGATATACCTCTGATATTTATCCACTGCACATGGATGTGAGACCTGCCTGTTTTATGAGTCCATCCTTCCTACCAGTCTTGATGGATGTGGTCTTATTGTTTTCAGACTACCATTGAACTCAGTTTCTGATGATTCTGAATGATGATTTTTCTAGAGTTATTTGTAATTTTGATGTGATTATGTGAGGAGGTGAGCTGTGTTTACCTGTGCTGACATCTTGACCAGAAGTCTCAATTTTTTGTGGTGCTTTGTTATGGTAGCTCATCCATACACACACTGTACAATAATATTAATCATTAATTTTAATTCTCTATTTTTATAATAACAAGTAAAAGAGAACAATAACTTTCTATTTAAAATATATTAATCAAAGTAGCAAAAATATCTCATATATAAACTAAAATTTACACTTGCCAAACAAAAATATTGTACCTTAGAGTTGGTATTCTATTTTGCTATTTTAACTTTTAAACACCATTAAAAACTCCAAGTGGCCCCATGGAAGAAAGAGTGGCAAATGCTTCTGATGTAATAAATATTTCAGGCTTTGCAGGACATATGATATTTATTGCAACTACTCAGTTTTGCTTTTTTAGCTATACATAAACCAATGAAAGTGGCCATGTTCTAATAAAACTATATTTATAGACATTCAACTTTAAATTCCATATAATTTTCATGTTATAAAATATATATTCTCCTGAAATTTTTTTTAAAAATTTAAAAATCATCTTCTGGTAGCTATAGTTATAATTTGCTGATCCTGAAATAATAAAATTGAAGTGACCCAACTTCTGTTTCTTCTTCTTTGCATCACTGCGCTCATAGTCTATTTAATCTATGTCTAAATGCAAAAATATGTAGTTTCATAAGAATTTGAGACTGAAACCAAGCAGAGACAAGCTCAAATGTATCCTTACTATTAAGAACTTATTCTAGAAATTGAACCATATTGTTCGGTCTGCTTCTGTATAACTGGGGTTCTCTGAATTAATTTGTATATAAAATACAACTTTTACTGAAATATATGTGATAAACACATTCTAATTTTAAGCTTACATATATTAAAACTATCAGTAAAAACAATTATCTACAATTTAGACCACAAACTATAGACTGCAGGTCAAATCCTGCCTGCTGCCTATTTTTGTCAACAAAGTTTTATTGAAACACAGCCACTCCCATTTATTTTTGTACTGTTTGTGGTTACTGTCTATCTACAGCAGCAAGGTTAAATAGTTGTGACAGAGGTCTTACATCCCCTAAGCCCAAAACTGTTGCTTATCTGCCGCTTTACAAGGAAAGTTTGCTGACTCTTTACTTAGACCAACAATGTTTTTTTTCTAGAAAAAATATTTTAACACTGATATTGTTTAAAATTGCTGGTGTTTTGGGATAATAAATAGTAAAACAATCATAGATAATACATACACTTATTGCCTGTTCCCAGGTAGGTTATTCCTGCTGCCCTGTCTGAGGTTTGTCACTTACAGTAAAGTTTTGAATGATCAGGAATCTAGGGCTCAGATGCTGTAGATATTTGGAGTCATATGACTCCTCACACAACTTTCATTGGGCCTTAGATTCTACCTGGCTGACCCTGAAGGGCAATTTGAAAACATAAATATTAATTAGGTAAAATAACTTCATAGGAGAGAAAGTTTTAGAAGGTATTATACCTCCTCTTTGAGGTTAAAAATGATTACAACAAATGTTGGATGATTTTGCTTTATCTACCATTGTTTGAGCTGTACCTTGGACATAGAAAGCACTCAGTACATATATGTAGTGAGACAAGGGAAGCTCCAACCAAAGAAAGATGTTAGGAAAGGATGATAGAGATGAGAACGTGGAATAAATTATATCGGTTCTGGTTATGTTGAGGATGTGTAATAATTTCCTGCCCAAAACAGTCAGCCTGAAATCTTGGGCACACTTGGGGAAAGTTATGCGGGTGAATCTAAGGACTCACCACAAACCTAGATTTATAAACTTTGGGGCCCAAGTTGTGTGTTGTGCTTGCCTGACTGAAGGAAGTAGCTTTTAGCTACTTAGCTTTTCCCCTTTGAGGAACCACTGCAATTGGTGAGTGCTGGTGACTCATTTATGACCAACGCTTTATTTTGGCAGACTCAAAGACTCAAGATTCAATGGTCTGAAGGTGGACATGATACCAACAGGAACTAACAGCCTGAAGACAGACACAATGCCGGCAGAAGCTAAGTCTATGAGATTATCACAACTTGGCCCCTAAACTGTCACCCCAAGAAACCAGCAGTAGCCATGGAAACCTTAGGAACCCTCACTGACTTCAGAAGACAGTGGAGTGGCAACCTCCTTCAGAATACAGCACCAAGCAGTCATCTCTTTTGGAGGAAATAGTAGAGTGAGCTGTATGAATTCCTGTCCAGCAGGCAGGAGGGAGAGAGAGAGAGTGAGAAGGAGGAGAGGAAGGAGGAGAACTGATCCCTGAGCAATGAGAAAAACCAAGACATTTAGGTAAGGGAACCCTCAGAAGGACTGGAAATCCTACAAGTGAAGTGGGTAGACCCCCCAAAGCATGGCCATTGGGACTGTGATGTAGTGGGACATAATTTTTCAATTACTGAGTATTGAGATTGAAATACTTAGTTTACAAAGTTAAGAATATGTTCAGCCAGAAATACCTAATTGTTAGCTGCTGCTTAATAACATGTAATTCTACAATTCCTCACTTCAGATACATTGCAACTCAATTTCAAAGAGAAACCATAGTCTGGCACATTCTGCTCTTGGAGGTTAACATGACTCTTTATTGCTGTTAGACGGCAAAAATGGGTGACTTAAGCTCAACGCCATCAGTGAAAAATTTTTTTCTTACAAATCTGTTACCCAAAATGGCTCTGTGCTCTGTTTTTGATGCTAATAAAAACTCATATGTTACTTCTGTCTTTTTTTAAACTTTTAGTTGTATTCTTGTCTGTTGATAAACTTGCTTTGTAAGTTTACCACAATGTGTCTAAAGAGTCAAAACGTCTAATATTATTGCTTTTTTACTTGTAGTTTCCATTTCCAAACTTGTTTTAGCTGACTGAAATGCTATAATCATTGAACTGTGTCAACATCCTTTGGTAGAAATGGTTATTTTTATTTCAGATTCAGGATATTAGTTTCATAGATTTTCTTTTTGGATAAGATTTTCCAGTGATCACTGAACCCTCCCAGGTGGTACAGAATGACTGGTTAAAATAAATCAAGTATGTCTCTTCCGTGTCTTCAAAAATACATGGTGCTTTACACTAAAAGCAGTTCCCCAAAAAGAAAAATCTCAATGTTTGAAATACTATGGCTAGTAGTAACAATAGTTAGCATCTAGACAATGTGTTCATTCAATTTGCATTTATTACTTAAATTCTCACAACAACCCATGGAGGCATAATTATTATCTCCACTTCATAAGTGAGGACATTATTTTTTTAATAATAAATTTTATTTAGTTACTTTTCAAGTACATTTTTTTATCTATTTCTCCCATCCCATCATAAGTGAGGACATTAAAGCTTGAAAATTTTAACTTACTTGCACAGCGTAATAAGAATTCATGGTCACCCATAACTGACAGAGGATTCATTTAAATTTCATTTTTCTGTAGTATAAATAAACTACTATTCCAGTTCTACGACTCAGAAATGCATCTTGGAAAAAAATACACTTCAAAAAGTTACATAAACAAGAGTGAAACAGAGGAGAAATTTTTGTCTCTGGTGAAAATAAGTCCCAATATAATATTAAAATCTCTGAAAAATATTTGTCATGTGTATTTTAATTTGAACCAAATTGAATTGGATGCTGGGAACTAATGCTTTAATTTTTAGCTTGTGAGCACAGAACAGTATTGCAGGGAGTGGGTGGAAGAAATACCCAAGACATAAGCTGGAAGTGTGGGCAGATTGAAAGAAATATCAGAAGTGAAGTCCATTTTCCCTTTGAAAATTGGAAAGGTCAGTGAGAGTTGAGGAAAACCTGTTCAATGAAGTAGTACATCTCTCCACACCCTTTTTCTTAGATCAAACTAATTAGAAAGAGTAAGGTATACAGCATAATAACTGCTGAACAGAATTAAACACATGAAGGGAAATACATATTGATTAATAATGCATACAGCCCATGAGCTGAAAGAAAAGCTATACATTTTAGTCTTAGAAAAATTGCTAGCTCATCCTAAATGTAAGATAAGTGATGTTGAAAAGATAACTCTCTCAGGGACAGAAAAATCCCCAACCCAGTGAAGTCAGGTGCAGAGTTACAAAAACATTGAAAAGAAATTTCACAGAGCTTTCGTGCTGCCCACACTTTTGGCTGCCTGTCGCTTGCATGCAAGGAGATAATTAAACATAGAAGAAATATCTTAAACAAAAACATTTGCCAGAACAAGACTGTCAAGGAAATTCCATTCATTCTATTTTAGACAACTAACAGACCCAGGTAAATTGTGATCATTCAAATAGATAAAATTGAGAATGCAAAAATAAATATTTGTCAGCCCTGGCTAGTGTAGCTCAGTGGATTGAGTATGAGCCTGTGAACCAGAAGATGGCGGTTCGATTCCCAGTCAGGGCACATGTCTGGGTTGCAGGCAAGTTCCCAGCAGGGAATGCATGAAAGGCAACCACACATTGATATTCTCTGCCTCTATCCCTCCCTTCCCCTCTAAAGATAAAGAAATAAATTTAAATAAATAAATAAATATTTGTCATATGAGTAAATATTTTTCATAGCAAGAAGAAAATAAATACAGATTGGAAACATAGGTATGAACAATATTCTAGAGGAAATATTTCATGTAACAGAAAAATGACAGTATAAAACATCTTTCAATTTTTAAGGAAACTTGCCAAAAAACAAACTTTATAAAATAAAATCATTAAAAAAGAAATGGAGGAAGCAAGAAAATAAATCAGGGGAAATGACACTAAAGGCTTCAAATCTAATTGTAAATTAATCTAAGCATTACAGAAGACCAAATCAAATGATATGAAGATGTGCTTGAGAAAACTCTACAAAAAGCAGAAAAGAAATTTGGAGAAAAAATGAAAGCTATGATGAATAAATAATAAAGCAAAATATTTCAAGAACTGGTATGCATGAAAGCACAATAGAATGGGTGAAACTGCTGGAAATATTTAGAGATAAAATAGAGAAGTTCAAAAGAAAGACCTGAGAAAGAACTGAAAGAATTGAGAGAAATTAAAATAATCCACATTTTAAAAATTAAGTGAAATGCCCTGGCTGGTGTGGCCCAGGGGATTGAGTGCTGGCCTGCAAATCAAAGGGTCTCTGGTTTGATTCCCAGTAAGGGCACATGCCTGGATTGCAGGCCGGGTTCCCAGTAGGGGATGCACAAGAGGCAACCACACACTGATGTTCTCTCCCTCTCTTTTCCCTTCCCTTCCGCTCTCCCTAAATGTAAATAAATGAAATCTTAAAAAATAAATAAAATGCAGAGAAGTAAATTGATAAACCATGCCACAGCATTTTCAAAGGTAGAAGGGAGGTAGAAATGTTGTTAATAACAGTAGCTGAAGAGTTCGGATTTTAGCATCCACATGGACACAGGAGAGAGCACTAGGATCCATCTGGAGGCAAAGAAAGTTAGTACAGAAACGCACTTCATGCATAAAACGGAAATGCACTCAGTGAAAAAGTACACTGTAAAAAATTCTCCCATTGACACTGAGGAAAAGCAAAACACTTTTCTTTGTCCTGCTAAACTCGTGGCAGTTGGTAAATATAGACCTGCTCTCATGTGGAATTGGGGTTCGACTTTGCAACAAATATTTGGCCCAAGAACTATTACACTGAGAAATAAAAGAATATTGTTAGATAAGTGGTAGTTCTGAGATGTGCAGCAGAAAAGGCTACGAAACCCTTTTTTACCCAAAGTTTAACATATTTCTCTAGATGAAACCATACCAAAGATAAATTTTTAAAACACAACAAAAACAATCTATTATGAGCATGAATTACAAGACAGAGAATTAGAGAGGAAGTACAGACTACCTCAAGAGAGACTGGAAGAGAAAGAGACCTGCTGCCTAGACACAGGGCAGGCTGTCACTGACTTTTCTCTCTGGAGTTCTTTAATGTCTGACTATCCGAGTCTCGTTAATTTTCCCCTTGGTCTGCAGCCTGAATGCTTTCCCAGCTTCCCCTGGCACACTCTCCATCTATACTTGCCCCTTAGGGCCTTCCATTTAAAGTGCCCATGGGGCATTGGAGGCTGGACAATGACATCAAATTCCTGCAGGAGAAAACTGAGGTAAGAGAAAGAAGCCACGGGGAAAATACGGAAAGAAGGGTTAGAGCAATTGGAGAAAAGTTGTTATTTGCTATTGAGTAGGTTCCAGCTCCTGGTGACTCTATGAATGAGTGGTATCCACAACGTCCTATCTCAATAGCCCTGCTCAGCTCTTGTAGATTCAAGCCTATAGCTTTTGTGAAGTCAATAGATCTCATATCTGGCCTTCTTTTCCTGATACCTTTTCTTTTTCCCAGCATTATTGCCTTTTCCAAAGAACTCTGCCTTCTCAGGATATGCCCAAAGTAGGACAGCTTCAGAATTGTCTTTTTTTTTTTCCTTCCAGCAATGTTGCAGGCTTACTTCATCCAGGACTCACTTGTTCCTCTTTCTGGTGGTCCAGATTACCCATGGAGTGCTCCTCCAGCATCGTATTTCAAATGAATGATTTTTTCTATTGGCTTTCTTCACTGTTCAACTTTCATATCCAAATACAGTAATTGAAAATACAAAGATATGAATGATCTTACCCTTGGCCTCTAAGAACACATCTTTGCTCTTGGGAGAATTCTTCCATCGCTGCCCTTTCAAGTATCAGTGTTCTTTTGATTTCTGGCCACAGTCTTCATTTGAATTAATGACTGAAGCAGAGTAAGCAAAATCTTTAACAATTTTGGTGTCTTCATCGTCCATGTTAAAGTTGCATATTTCTTCTATAGTCATAATTCTTGTCTTGATGTTCAGATGCAGACCTACTTTGTCACTTTCTTCTTTGCTGAGTAATAAAATGAAAAGCAGGGGAAAATTTTCAACAGGACAAATAATGTTATGAGGAAAAAATCAAGAAAAAAGTGTTGAATTTTTTAAAGTCCTAATTGAATTTAGAACTATAGGCTGTTTATTTGGTTTTCATTTCTATAAAAATATTTAACATTCTGCTTAAATTTAATGATATAGGAAGGTATCCCACAATCCCTCTTCTCCTACTCCTCTTCCTCCTTTGTTTTGGTAACAGTTCTTGCTCAACAGAGTTGGGAAATTATAGCCAGGTATTTTCTCTATCAAGAATAATTGTTTTCAAGCTAATTTGTGAGTTATGTTGTAAACTCTACCCAGCAGAGTTTTATTTTCTATTATCTTTATTGACTTTCCCTTCCCAATTCTGGGGTTATAAAATAAAACTTGGGTACCTCCTTTTTGTAATAAAAATGTACTGCATCTATGTCTATACAACAGAGTATTAAACTTCACCTTAATCTAAGGGAGTTATTCCTACCTTATAGTAGCTTGAAATGTGCTGCTACATTCTAGTTCTTCTCTGTCTATGACAAAAAATCTTAAGTTTATTTTTGCTGTTATTTTGGCATTGTTTTGTTTTGTTTCTCAG